AGTTCTAGTTCAGTTCTAGTTCAGTTCTAGTTCAGTTCTAGTTCAGTTCTAGTTCAGTTCTAGTTCAGTTCTAGTTCAGTTCTAGTTCAGTTCTAGTTCAGTTCTAGTTCAGTTCTAGTTCAGTTCTAGTTCAGTTCTAGTTCAGTTCTAGTTCAGTTCTAGTTCAGTTCTAGTTCAGTTCTAGTTCAGTTCTAGTTCAGTTCTAGTTCAGTTCTAGTTCAGTTCTAGTTCAGTTCTAGTTCAGTAGTTTTAGTTCAGTTCTAGTTCAGTTCTAGTTCAGTTCTAGTTCAGTTCTAGTTCAGTTCTAGTTCAGTTCTAGTTCAGTTCTAGTTCAGTTCTAGTTCAGTTCTAGTTCAGTTCTAGTTCAGTTCTAGTTCAGTTCTAGTTCAGTTCTAGTGTAGTTTTAGTTCAGTTCTAGTTCAGTTCTAGTTCAGTTCTAGTTCAGTTCTAGTTCAGTTCTAGTTCAGTTCTAGTTCAGTTCTAGTTCAGTTCTAGTTTAGTTCTAGTTTAGTTCTAGTTCAGTTCTAGTTCAGTTGTAGTTCAGTGGTAGTTCAGTTCTAGTTCAGTTCTAGTTCAGTTCTAGTTCAGTTCTAGTTCAGTTCTAGTTCAGTTGTAGTTCAGTGGTAGTTCAGTTCTAGTTCAGTTCTAGTTCAGTTCTAGTTCAGTTCTAGTTCAGTTCTAGTTCAGTTCTAGTTCAGTTCTAGTTCAGTTGAATGCTGGGTTAGTTTTGAAATGAAACTTTACTGAAATCTTTGATGAAATACATAGTAGATTTCAAATCCAGTCAAACTTTTAATAAGTTGTTTAATAAATCTTAAAAAGTAACAGCGGAAACAACATTAATTAAACTTTATTTTGCAAAATACCAATCAATAAATATTAAAAAAAAAGTCAAGAAAAATGAGAAAGAAGTTAAAAAAGAATATATATTATAAAAAGGTCGGATGGTCGCCTGTTTGGTTGATTTTTTTTTTTTTGCCCCAAAAAGTCTAAAGAAATTAAAAAGGAAACAATTTGTTAAGAAAAAATGGTTTAATTTCTCCAAAGAGAAGAAAAAAACAGAGAAAACTTACAAATGTTAAAGACAAAAAAGGAGTAAAAGGAAGTAAACCTTCTAGAACCTTGGCGGGGAAAAAGAGATAAAATGGCAAAGCACAGTAACAAAAAGGTTGATGGCGACTTTTATTTTAAAAATTTTCAGTTAGAAAAAATACCAACCAAGTTCTAGAATTACTGAAAATAAATATGAAAATTGTTTTTAAAAGAAAAAAAAAATTGTGTTGGCAACTGTTAACTAACTGAACATCATATTTGAAATCGAAACCAACAAAGTAGAAACTACCAACCCAAACTCTATGACTAACATAATTTTTCTTCTATCAAAGAAAGTTGGTAATTTTTTTTTTTAATAAAACTTTATATAAAACTAACATTTTGTTATAATATAACAACTAAAACATTGCACGAATGAAAAAAGAAAAAAAACATTATCAACAAATATAGATAAATGAAATATGGAAAAAAAAAAATCAGCACGGAAAAAATCGTGTTTAATCTCTAGTAGAAATATAAAAAATGTGCAACTTTACTAATGATATAAAAAAATATATATAGAAAATTTTATAGGAAAAAAAAATCTTGTTAAGTAGAAATCTTTATTATGGGGTTTGGTGTTTGGTGGCTAAAAGTTGAATATAATAAATATAGTATTGGCTGGCATTGCCAACATCATCTTCATCAGCAACACAGACAGATAGAATTACATGAGAGTTGAAATCAATGAAGTAAAACAAGGGTTTCAATTTTTTCTCCATTTCCAATACGCTCGTTCTTAACTCACAAAACAAATTTACAGGAAAAAAATAATACATAAACGGAAAAAATCTATATTTCTTATATGAATAATAAAATGGCAAAAAATCTAAAACATAGATTTGTAACTATAGTCGTTTGAAACAATTGAATTATTTTATATAACCTTAGATTTTTATTTAAATGATGAAATGCTCCTGCTGATGCTGGGAAACGTTAACAAAGAAATAAGTTTCTTTTTAAAAAAAAACTTTTTAAACTTTTTATAAAACCTTTTTCCTTCCGTCGGACGGCAAACAAAGGTGAAGATTATTAACATCGAGTTTTGCAATAAATTTGAATTTATATAGTAATTAAAAGAGATAGACGACTTTCAATTGAACCTTAAAAATCTGTAACAGAAGAAGAATAGAATAATACATAACTAGGGTTTGAACGAAAACAATTAACAGAAATCAAAACGTTATTGATATTGCAAATAATCCAAAAATAAAGTTAATAATTTAAATATTGCACCAATATCCAATAGTTCAGTTATGGCTAAGTACTAGTTAGGTTCAGAAATAGTGTGGCAACCAGTAAAACAAAAAAATCTCTGCTTCATGGCTTTCAATTCCAGAACTGAACTAGAACTGAACTAGAACTAAACTAGAACTGAACTAGAACTGAACTAGAACTGAACTAGAACTGAACTAGAACTGAACTAGAACTGAACTAGAACTGAACTAGAACTGAACTAGAACTGAACTAGAACTGAACTAGAACTGAACTAGAACTGAACTAGAACTGAACTAGAACTGAACTAGAACTGAACTAGAACTGAACTAGAACTGAACTAGAACTGAACTAGAACTGAACTAGAACTGAACTGAACTAGAACTGAACTAGAACTGAACTAGGACTGAACTAGAACTGAACTAGAACTGAACTAGAACTAGAACTGAACTAGAACTAGAACTGAACTAGAACTAGAACTAGAACTGAACTAGAACTGAACTAGAACTAGACTGAACTAGAACTAGAACTGAACTAGAACTAGAACTGAACTAGAACTGAACTAGAACTGAACTAGAACTGAACTAGAACTGAACTAGAACTGAACTAGAACTGAACTAGAACTGAACTAGAACTGAACTAGAACTGAACTAGAACTAGAACTGACTAGAACTGAACTAGAACTGAACTAGAACTGAACTAGAACTGAACTAGAACTGAACTAGAACTGAACTAGAACTGAACTAGAACTGAACTAGAACTGAACTAGAACTGAACTAGAACTGAACTAGAACTGAACTAGAACTGAACTAGAACTGAACTAGAACTGAACTAGAACTGAACTAGAACTGAACTGAACTAGAACTGAACTAGAACTGAACTAGAACTGAACTAGAACTGAACTAGAACTGAACTAGAACTGAACTAGAACTGAACTAGAACTGAACTAGAACTGAACTAGAACTGAACTAGAACTGAACTAGAACTGAACTAGAACTGAACTAGAACTGAACTAGAACTGAACTAGAACTGAACTAGAACTGAACTAGAACTGAACTAGAACTGAACTAGAACTGAACTAGAACTGAACTAGAACTGAACTAGAACTGAACTAGAACTGAACTAGAACTGAACTAGAACTGAACTAGAACTGAACTAGAACAGAACTGAACTAGAACTGAACTAGAACAGAACTGAACTAGAACAGAACTGAACTAGAACAGAACTGAACTAGAACAGAACTGAACTAGAACTGAACTAGAACTGAACTAGAACTGAACTAGAACTAAAATAGAACTGATGTTGAATTGAACTAGAGCTAAACTAAATTTTAACTAGAGAACTTAACCTGAAAATAAAAACTATTCTTTTGACTAAATTCTCCATGACTCCTTGAAATATACATAAAATTTCCTTAACATTTACATTTAAAAAAACCAGCCATTTTAACGTATTTCTTCAACCATAATAAAAGCACTAATTGAATTCTATTAAAACTGACAACCTAAAACTTTTGAAATGGTGTAGTATTCACTATTATGGACTTTGTGTTAGAACGCGAAAAAGGAACAAAAAAAAAAACTTGACGTATAATTTAGTATATACAAAAAGTTTTAAACCTTTGTTGGTTGTTTTACATCATTTACTTATTTTAATTATAGAACAAAAAGAAATATTATAAAAAGGACCTTTTTCTGCGTTTTTTTTTTTTTTTTTTTGTACTCAACCCCCTCCCTCAACCCTATAAACACTTTATATGGAAATTTTTTTTCTAACGAGTTTAAATTTTATATTTTTTTCACGTTAATTTTTTTGTTCCTTAAATGAGGACCAATTTTTTTTTTGGTGTAAATGGTTTATATACTTGTTCTTAAGCAAAAAATTAAGAAAACATCAAGTTTTTCTGAGAATTCTCATTAATTTCTTATATACTAACTAAAAAAAAAAAAATAAAAGGAAAGGAGAGTGTAAGAAAAAAATTACAATCCTTTCAATGTATGTATGTATTGTTTATAAAAGAAAACAAAATATATACATATAAATTAAAATAAGAAAAAAAAAGTGAACTCATCATCTGACAGCTTAAAAAAATGAAGAAAAAGTGGAAATCTTAAAAGTGTTTTTTTTTTTGTTCTTTATGTTCTACATAATAATGATTCCTTTTGCTTCTTATTATGACAACAAGGACAACGGCGAGTATATATGCAAGAGATAAGACAAGGAGAAAACAGAATGATGCTGATGACCGCACCAGTTTTATAACACCCAACCAATAACGCCGTTCGTTAAAAACCCCCCCCCCCACGAACTCTTACCTATTAAATAATTTCGTTCCTTTTTTTTTGTATATCTTACGAACCTTAACTGATTGTTGTGGATATACAATTAAATGTAGTCCTTTCTGGTATTTACCAATAGTTATCATCATTTGATATTGCAATATTCATCCACACCTTGATTTAAACATCCCTTTCGAGGAATAATTATAAAAAAGAAATAACCAAAATCACGCTGGAAAATAAACTTCTCATTTTCATTATCGGTCATAAATACATACATATATACACAATTTTTTCTTTTGCTGTTCAATAAGTCAGTTTTAATTTAAGTTATTTTTCTGTAATAAACCTTTTAATAATTCTAAATAAATAAGAAAAACTCAATTAATTTTCATAAACTTTGTCAACTTTTAGGGTCTTCTACGCACCGCTGAACAGTTAAAAATTAAAGGTCTTTGTGAGACAGCAGAAAATGCCGATGATCTGAACGATACGGCCACAGCAACAATAACAGTATCTGAGAATATACAGCAAGCTGTCGTTGGTAATATTGTCAATGCTACAGTAGTACCAGGTCCGCAATCACCACCTATACCCCACCAACAACATCAGCAGCCACAACAGCAAACGTCACAGCAGCAGCAGCAACAACAGCAGCAACAGCATCAACACCAGCAACAACAATTAACCACAACCGCCGTTTTAAGTCCGGGAAGTGCTCAACAGTTAGCCGCCACAGGACAATTGGTAACATCAACACCTGCCACAACACCCCAGCAGCAGCAACAGCAGCAGCAACAACAACGAAAATCCCGCGTACGCAAACGTTCAAAATCCCCCGATTTACAATTGCAACAGCAGCAACAACACCATCAACAGCAACAAAATCAACAGCATCCACAGGCAATATTAATACAAAATCAAAATCAGGCTGCTATTGTCAGTCTACAACAGACATCGGCTGGTAATTATATACCCGTGTCGGGAGTACAAACGGTAACCACCAGTGTAGCGGGTGGTCCACAGCAGCAACAACAACAGACCACCATTGTAACAGCGGACGATTCTGATTCGGATAAACCGTCGCTGCAAAAGATTTGTAAAACTGAAGCATCATCCGCTTCACCGGCGTCCACTTCATCGGCATCGGCATCAAATAATGCTGGTGGCGTAACTGCGGTCACAGCATCGGGCACAGCGATCGTAACACAAATTGTAGTAGCAAGAGACGGAAAAGATAAAAATATGACTAGTTTAGGCATGGGAATGGTAAGTGATTCCACTTCGTTGGAATCTGATTTCGGTTGAAATTGTTAAAAAAAAATTTATATTTTTTGTTTTTTTTTTATTTCGTTGCGTTTGTAAGTTCCCCTTAAGAAATTTTGTTATAAATTGTGAATTTTATTTTTATTATAGAATGGTGGCATTCTAGGAGTCCCTATGGGCTTTTTAGATTTTGCCCCCGAACCACCGGCACCATCGGCAACACCAGTTACGGTTACAGAACACGTTGATTTATCCTGTAACCCCAGTACGGATACCAGAGATTTATCAAGTGAGTTATTGGTACTTTGTTTTTGTATTTTATTATTAAAAAGTTATGAAAATGTTAAATATGGTCTAGTCTATAGTTTAAACAATTGTCCAGTATAATTTGAACAATGGACTAGTCTATAGTATCGGCTACATTCAAGTCTGTAGTCTGTACTATTGACCAGTTTATAGTCTGGACTTATAATATAGTCTATTGCCTTTTCAATGGCATAGTATTGTCTGCAATTTGGTCTATACTTTCGTCTATAGTCTTAACTATAGTCTAGTCTGTAGCTTTAGTCTAGTCTATTGCGTATTCTATAGTCTAGTCTGTAGTATAGTATATGTTTAGTCTGTAGTCTAGTTTTAGTCTAGTCTATAGTTAGTCTATAGTCTATCCTATAGTATAGTCTATAGTCTAGTCTATAGTCTAGTCTATAGTCTAGTCTATAGTCTAGTCTATAGTCTAGTCTATAGTCTAGTCTATAGTCTAGTCTATAGTCTAGTCTATAGTCTAGTCTATAGTCTAGTCTATAGTCTAGTCTATAGTCTAGTCTATAGTCTAGTCTATAGTCTAGTCTCTAGTCTATAGTCGTCTAAGTCTAGTCTATAGTCTAGTCTATAGTCTAGTCTATAGTCTAGTCTATAGTCTAGTCTATAGTCTAGTCTATAGTCTAGTCTATAGTCTAGTCTATAGTCTAGTCTATAGTCTAGTCTATAGTCTAGTCTATAGTCTAGTCTATAGTCTAGTCTATAGTCTAGTCTATAGTCTAGTCTATAGTCTAGTCTATAGTCTAGTCTATAGTCTAGTCTATAGTCTAGTCTATAGTCTAGTCTATAGTCTAGTCTATAGTCTAGTCTATAGTCTAGTCTATAGTCTAGTCTATAGTCTAGTCTATAGTCTAGTCTATAGTCTAGTCTATAGTCTAGTCTATAGTCTAGTCTATAGTCTAGTCTATAGTCTAGTCTATAGTCTAGTCTATAGTCTAGTCTATAGTCTAGTCTATAGTTAGTCTATAGTCGTCTATAGTCTAGTCTATAGTCTAGTCTATAGTCTAGTCTATAGTCTAGTCTATAGTCTAGTCTATAGTCTAGTCTATAGTCTAGTCTATAGTCTAGTCTATAGTCTAGTCTATAGTCTAGTCTATAGTCTAGTCTATAGTCTAGTCTATAGTCAGTCTATAGTCTAGTCTATAGTCTAGTCTATAGTCTAGTCTATAGTCTAGTCTATAGTCTAGTCTATAGTCTAGTCTATAGTCTAGTCTATAGTCTAGTCTAGTCTAGTCTATAGTCTAGTCTATAGTCTAGTCTATAGTCTAGTCTATAGTCTAGTCTATAGTCTAGTCTATAGTCTAGTCTATAGTCTAGTCTATAGTCTAGTCTATAGTCTAGTCTATAGTCTAGTCTATAGTCTAGTCTATAGTCTAGTCTATAGTCTAGTCTATAGTCTAGTCTATAGTCTAGTCTATAGTCTAGTCTATAGTCTAGTCTATAGTCTAGTCTATAGTCTAGTCTATAGTCTAGTCTATAGTCTAGTCTATAGTCTAGTCTATAGTCTAGTCTATAGTCTAGTCTATAGTCTAGTCTATAGTCTAGTCTATAGTCTAGTCTATAGTCTAGTCTATAGTCTAGTCTATAGTCTAGTCTATAGTCTAGTCTATAGTCTAGTCTATAGTCTAGTCTATAGTCTAGTCTATAGTCAGTCTATAGTCTAGTCTATAGTCTAGTCTATAGTCTAGTCTATAGTCTAGTCTATAGTCTAGTCTATAGTCTAGTCTATAGTCTAGTCTATAGTCTAGTCTATAGTCTAGTCTATAGTCTAGTCTATAGTCTAGTCTATAGTCTAGTCTATAGTCTAGTCTATAGTCTAGTCTATAGTCTAGTCTATAGTCTAGTCTATAGTCTAGTCTATAGTCTAGTCTATAGTCTAGTCTATAGTCTAGTCTATAGTCTAGTCTATAGTCTAGTCTATAGTCTAGTCTATAGTCTAGTCTATAGTCTAGTCTATAGTCTAGTCTATAGTCTAGTCTATAGTCTAGTCTATAGTCTAGTCTATAGTCTAGTCTATAGTCTAGTCTATAGTCTAGTCTATAGTCTAGTCTATAGTCTAGTCTATAGTCTAGTCTATAGTCTAGTCTATAGTCTAGTCTATAGTCTAGTCTATAGTCTAGTCTATAGTCTAGTCTATAGTCTAGTCTAGTCTAGTCTATAGTCTAGTCTATAGTCTAGTCTATAGTCTAGTCTATAGTCTAGTCTATAGGTCTAGTCTATAGTCTAGTCTATAGTCTAGTCTATAGTCTAGTCTATAGTCTAGTCTATAGTCTAGTCTATAGTCTAGTCTATAGTCTAGTCTATAGTCTAGTCTATAGTCTAGTCTATAGTCTAGTCTATAGTCTAGTCTATAGTCTAGTCTATAGTCTAGTCTATAGTCTAGTCTATAGTCTAGTCTATAGTCTAGTCTATAGTCTAGTCTATAGTCTAGTCTATAGTCTAGTCTATAGTCTAGTCTATAGTCTAGTCTATAGTCTAGTCTATAGTCTAGTCTATAGTCTAGTCTATAGTCTAGTCTATAGTCTAGTCTATAGTCTAGTCTATAGTCTAGTCTATAGTCTAGCCTATAGTCTAATCTATAGTCTAGTCTATAGTCTATTCTATATTGTAGTCTATAGTTGGGACTGTAGACTAGTCCATAGTTGGGTTTCTAGTCTAGTCTAAAATCTGGACACAATAATTTGTCTTATTAAGAAACTAAATTTAATCTTTATCAATTCCTTTCTTAACAGATCCCTCAGAACCGCTCGATATCGACAATCATTTGGCTCAACACATGATACAACGGCTCGATCAATCTCCCATGCACACGATTCACCATCAGACCGGTGAAGAATCAAATTCGAATCTGGTACAGCATATAAAGAGTGAAGTAATCGATGCCAAACAACAGCAGCAGCAGCAACAACAGCAGCAACAACAAGCTGCTGCTGTAGCCGCCGCTCATCATCAAGCTCAACAGCAGCAGTTGCATGCACAACAATTAGCAGCAGCGCAAGGACAAACACATCAGCAGCAACAACAGCAGGCAGCCCACCAACAGCAGCAACAACAGCAGCAGGCACATCAACAACATCACCAGCAGCAACAGGCCCACCAGCAGCATCATCAGGAAATAACCGGAGCCACCGTTATGGAGATTGATCCGAGCCAAATAAAACATGAGCCGGGCATGATAATAACACCGGAAATTGTAAATATGATGACGACAGGGCATATGGGTGAGTTGCGATTCATTTTGTTTTTCATTAAAATATTTTAAAATTTTCTATAGATTGTTCTTCAGAATATAATAAACCCTTTTTTACCACTGAAACCTTTTCCTGTTGTTGAAACTATTAGCTTTTTTCAAAGCTTTAAAAAACTTGATTTTTCCTTTTGATATATCAAATGTTATCAATTGCAAATTAATAATAGGAATGGACAAGAACCTTATGACCATAAGACAAAATCCAATAGAATTGAATCATTTCCAATGAAACTGAATCTTAAGAAATTTGAAAAGTAAAAACTGTAATATAGCCCAAAATCACTAACTGTATATCAGATAAGAAATCTGCACTATTTTCAGCTTTAAAACACTTTCTTAAATCATCTTGCCATTATGCAACCGATATTTATTATTCTCTTTACTTTTTTTTCTTTCAAAAAAACTGTCCTTCCAGACATGTACAATTCCGATACGAGCGATGATTCAATGATGATTGCCAACGGTTCACCACATGATCAAAATGAACCCCATTACACGAATTTAGATCAACAGCATGGCGATATGAAAGGTCAGTTTAATGGTCCCAAAACTTGGACACAAGATGATATGAATTCAGCTTTAGATGCACTGAAGAATCAAAACATGAGCCTGACGAAAGCATCCGTTACCTATGGCATCCCCTCAACCACCCTCTGGCAAAGGGCCCACCGCATGGGCATTGAAACACCGAAGAAGGAAGGAGGTACAAAATCATGGAACGAAGACTCACTCAACAATGCACTGGAGGCTTTGCGTTCGGGACAAATATCGGCGAATAAAGCATCGAAAGCCTTTGGTATACCTTCGTCAACGTTGTATAAAATAGCACGACGTGAAGGTATACGATTGGCAGCGCCGTTTAATGCCGCCCCCACCACCTGGACGCCGGAAGATTTGGAACGGGCCTTGGAGGCAATACGTGCTGGGCATACATCGGTACAGAAGGCAAGTGCAGAATTTGGTATACCCACAGGTAAGTTAAAAAGAGAAAAAAAAACTAACGTACAAAGGGTTTCTCGTTGTACAAAATTATTTGTTCTGCGCCGCACTATTGGGGGAGTTGTTATTACTTAATTGGTGTGCGTGTTTGTTTAGAGAACATATTTATATTTATTTTGTTTTCTTCAACCAAAAAACCCTTTAATCACCCTTGTCCCCGTTAAGGCACATTATATGGTCGTTGTAAACGTGAGGGCATCGAATTATCCCGTTCAAATCCTACACCCTGGTCTGAAGATGCTATGAATGAAGCTTTAAATTCTGTGCGGTAAGTGTGATTTGCTTTTATTGTTATTCCTCGAGATTTTATTTAATTAATTATCTCTTTTGTTTCCATAAAGCATTGGCCAAATGTCTATAAATCAAGCTGCTATCCATTATAATTTACCCTATAGTTCTTTATATGGTCGCTTTAAGCGCGGTAAATACGATGTGGCCAATACAAGTGGTACTTCCATCAATAATACATCGGGCAATACCTCTGGTAGTATTGAAATTATTGAACATAGTCAAGAGAATTCGGTAAGTATTTAATTTGCTGTAAATTATATGTATGTATGTGTTTTACATGGATTCGTTTTTTGTTTATTTTATTAACTCAATTCGTTTCAAATTCATATCATTTCTAATATTTTATGTTTTATTATTTAGTTGGAAAAAATTAAAGAGTTTCAAAATGTTGGTGCAGCTTGATAGGAGTTTTCTCATTACTTTTATTCAAAATGTGCATATTTTACATTTTGAATCAAAAGTTCTTACATCATGCCTATTCTAGTTCAGTTCTGGCTTGGTTGTAGTTCAGTTCTAGTTCAATTCTAGTTCAGTTCTAGTTCAGTTCTAGTTCAGTTCTAGTTCAGTTCTAGTTCAGTTCTAGTTCAGTTTAGTTCAGTTCTAGTTCAGTTCTAGTTCAGTTCTAGTTCAGTTCTAGTTCAGTTCTAGTTCAGTTCTAGTTCAGTTCTAGTTCAGTTCTAGTTCAGTTCTAGTTCAGTTCTAGTTCAGTTCTAGTTCAGTTCTAGTTCAGTTCTAGTTCAGTTCTAGTTCAGTTCTAGTTCAGTTCTAGTTCAGTTCTAGTTCAGTTCTAGTTCAGTTTCTAGTTCAGTTCTAGTTAGTTCTAGTTCAGTTCTAGTTCGTTCTAGTCAGTTCTAGTCCAGTTCTAGTTCAGTCTAGTTCAGTTCTAGTTCAGTTCTAGTTCAGTTCTAGTTCAGTTCTAGTTCAGTTCTAGTTCAGTTAGTCTCTGTTCGTTCTAGTTCAGTTCTAGTTCAGTTCTAGTTCAGTTCTAGTTCAGTTCTAGTTCAGTTTCATAGTTCAGTTCTAGTTCAGTTCTAGTTCAGTTCTAGTTCAAGTTCTAGTCAGTTCTAGTTCAGTTCTAGTTCAGTTCTAGTTCAGTTCTAGTTCAGTTCTAGTTCAGTTCAGTTCTAGTTCAGTTCTAGTTCAGTTCTAGTTCAGTTCTAGTTCAGGTCTAGGTCAGTTCTAGTTCAGTTCTAGTTCAGTTCTAGTTCAGTTCTAGTTCAGTTCTAGTTCAGTTCTAGTTCAGTTCTAGTTCAGTTCTAGTTCAGTCTAGTTCAGTTCTAGTTCAGTTCTAGTTCAGTTCTAGTTCAGTTCTTAGTTCAGTTCTAGTTCAGTTCTAGTTTCAGTTCTAGTTCAGTTCTAGTTCAGTTCTAGTTCAGGTTCTAGTTCAGTTCTAGTTCAGTTCTAGTTCAGTTCTAGTTCAGTTCTAGTTCAGTTCTAGTTCAGTTCTAGTTCAGTTCTAGTTCAGTTCTAGTTCAGTTCTAGTTCATTCTAGTTCAGTTCTAGTTCAGTTCTAGTTCAGTTCTAGTTCAGTTCTAGTTCAGTTCTAGTTCAGTTCTAGTTCAGTTCTAGTTCAGTTCTAGTTCAGTTCTTAGTTCAGTTCTAGTTCTAGTTCAGTTCTAGTTCAGTTCTAGTTCAGTTCTAGTTCAGTTCTAGTTCAGTTTCTAGTTCAGTTCTAGTTCAGTTCTAGTTCAGTTCTAGTTCAGTTCTAGTCAGTTCTAGTTCAGTTCTAGTTCAGTTCTAGTTCAGTTCTAGTTCAGTTCTAGTTCAGTTCTAGTTCAGTTCTAGTTCAGTTCTAGTTCAGTTCTAGTTCAGTTCTAGTTCAGTTCTAGTTCAGTTCTAGTCAGTTCTAGTTCAGTTCTAGTTCAGTTCTAGTTCAGTTCTAGTTCAGTTCTAGTTCAGTTCTAGTTCAGTTCTAGTTCAGTTCTAGTTCAGTTCTAGTTCAGTTCTAGTTCAGTTCTAGTTCAGTTCTAGTTCAGTTCTAGTTCAGTTCTAGTTCAGTTCTAGTTCAGTTCTAGTTCAGTTCTAGTTCAGTTCTAGTTCAGTTCTAGTTCAGTTCTAGTTCAGTTCTAGTTCAGTTCTAGTTCAGTTCTAGTTCAGTTCTAGTTCAGTCTAGTTCAGTTCTAGTTCAGTTCTAGTTCAGTTCTAGTTCAGTTCTAGTTCAGTTCTAGTTCAGTTCTAGTTCAGTTCTAGTTCAGTTCTAGTTCAGTTCTAGTTCAGTTCTAGTTTCTAGTTCAGTTCTAGTTCAGTTCTAGTTCAGTTCTAGTTCAGTTCTAGTTCAGTTCTAGTCAGTTAGATCAGTTCTAGTTCAGTTTCTACTTTAGTCTGTTCAAGTTCAGTTCTAGTTCAGTTCTAATTCAGTTCTAATTCACTTCTAGTTTAGTTCATTCAATTTTATTTAAAAAGCTCTTTTACTTTTTTTCAACAATATTTATTTATTATTTTTAATTTTGTTTTTTATTTAAATTAATATATATTTTTTATTTGTTATATTATTTTTATAATTGTTTTTTTCTTTAACCAACAATCGTTCTCATTTTAATTTCATTCATTTTTTTCTTAACCAAAAACAACCAACCAAAAACTTCCCACACAATCAATCAAACAATCAAACAAACAACAATTGCGTCAACAAATAAAATTTATAAAGTTGCCTATGTTTCAGCAACAATTCCAATATAGTCCATCGCCGCATCAGCAACAGCACGGTGGCAGTAGTACACCGCAGCAAAGTCAAACGCCACAGCATCTACAGCAACATGTTGTGCACATACAGCAACAGCATCATCAGCAACAGACTCAACATGCCCAACATATCCAACAGCAAGATGTTGTAACATCGTCAAGTCAACAACAGCAGCAACAACAACAAGTCCAACAGCAACAACATGCCAGCAATTCGGCAGCCTCCCAACAGCAACAACAACAACAGCAGCAACAACAAATTCAACAGATTTATCATCATCACAGTACACCCGAGAGAAGTTGAGAATCACTGCAAATTGTATCAGCCGCCTCTACTGTTGCTGTCGCAGCAGTAGCAGCAGCCGCAGCAGCAAATCTTAGTGGCGGTTTAAGTCACAATACAACAACAACACATCATCAACATCAGCATCATCATAGCGTAACAACAATTGCTGCCAGCAATAGCGGCAACAAACGTAAGAAAACCTCGAAAACAAAACGTTGAATAAACTAAAATTAGATAAAAGAAAAACAACAACAGTGTCCAAAAAAACAAGGGAAAAAGAAAGGAAGAATGGAACAGAGAGAGAGAGTTGAGGAAATATGTTTTTGTTGTCCACTTTTAATTGCAGCAACTAACACTCTCTAGTAAAAAGTGTCAAGAGTTTTTTTTTTCTAGTTTATTTTAAGTGCGAAATAGAAAACCGATAAAAATGTTGATTGATCGATTACCGAACGAATGTGGTTGAGGATGGATGAATGTACTACAAAAGCAAAAGAAAGGATGGCTGTTTTGTTATTGTTCTGTTGGATGGGTGAATTTATTATTATTTTTATTATTATTATTTTTTTTTTCTCTTAAGGTGTAAGTTTATCCTCCTTATTTCTAATTTTTATTAAATTTATTATTACAAAAAAAAAAAAAAACTATTAACTATTATTAGTTATTAACTATAGTTATTATTATTTTAATTTAAAAGAAAAACATATTATGGATTATTAAAAACAACAACAACAACAACCCTTAAACACAATAGAGTAAAAAGAATGAAAAAAATGTAAAAGGAAAACACACAAGAAACTAATTTTAATTTAATTTAAAATTTTTAAAATAACTGTTTAAATATGTATTCAAATTACAAAAACTTTAGAACTTTTGTATAAATAATAATTTTGTTTTGTTGCTTTTCCTTTTGCTTTTAATTTTAAATTTTCCCTTGTTAAGCTTTATTCATTTTACACAAAAAATATTTCATATTTCATTAACATTTTAACACTTAATGTTAAGAATTCTTTTCGTTTTTTTTTTTTTTTTTGATTTGATTTTGTAAAATAATTAAAACATGGATTTGAAAAAAAAAGGAATTACATATAATTTTGTATTGACTTTTTAATGGAAATTTATGTGTTTTTTTCCATAATTTATTTTTACATAAAAGACAGCTAAAACTTGTTATTTTCTTTAAAATTTCTTTAAATTTCATATTTTAGTAAGTTTTTATAACTCACTCTTTAAGTTGCCTTTCAATATCATTTTATATTCTTCTAAACTCTTTTGAGAGCTTTTTTGTTAGTTTTGAATTTGAAATGATCGTTAACTCCTTAAAAAATCTTATTATTGTTATTTTTTTAATATATTATTACTAAAACTATGATGGTTTACTCTGAATTCGATTTGAAAACAAAACATTTGCCCAATTCACAATCAGAGTCGTAACGTTGTATCTTTGTATGTCATAATTTGTTTACAATACAACAATACAACGGCCCATCACCGATTTTAAATTGGTCCATTGTATTATGAAAGCTTTTTCTTTCGATTCGTAATACAAAGTAATCCTGCAGTTCTTAACTATTATATTTAATAAACTTCTTTTGTTTTAATATATTTTTAAACTTTATAAAAATCATTGCTATTGAAATTTTATCTCAAATTATTGTTCCATTCTTTATTAATATTAGAAAATCGTTGTTAAGTGTTAACTATTAATCTGAAAGGAAGTTTTTGGAATAGGAAACCATCTATTTGGCTAAAACTTAACGCCTTATTTTTATATCTTCACATAAATGTTTGAAAAAGACGAAACAATTTCTATGGCAAGTGAAGTAAGGGAAAGGAAGGAGATTTACAAAATTATGTGTAATATGATTCCTTCCCTTTTCTTCTCTAGTCTTCATTTCAATCTGAAATCGAGAAAACGTGAGTTTGTTAAGATCGTTTAATAAACAATTAATCCATTTTTATACTTTAGAATTTTTCCATAACAAAGTTTAAAAAAAAATACATTTTGGCCAAATTTAAGACGTTATAACAAAGTGAAATCAACTTTATTTATAAAATATAAACCCAATTATCTAAAGGAATCCTTAAATATTTGCTGGCTTGTGTATTCTAGAGACCAATTTTCAAGGTTTTCAAGACAATTTTACCAACGTTAGTCCTTTTTTTATCCTTATCTTTTGGCACCAAAGACTAGTCAAAAGGCTAGTACATAGACTAGTAAACAGACAAGATTAGACAATAGTATAGTCTATAGACTAGTCCATACACTAGACAATAGGCTAGTTCATAGACTAGACAATAGACTGGACAATAGACTAGCCCATAGACTAATAAATAAACTAGTCAGTAGACTAGTTTATAGAATAGTCCATAGACCTGACAAAGACTTGTCCATTGACTAGACAATAGACTAGTCAGAAGACTAGTTCATGGACTAGTCCACAGACTTGTTCATGGACTAGTCTACAGACTTTTTTATGGACAAATCCACAGACTAGTCCGTAAACTAAACAATAGACTAGTCCATAGACTACGCAGAATACTAGACAATAGATTAGTTCATGTTCATGGACTAGTCCACAGACTTGTCCATAGACTAGTCCACAGACAATAGACTAGTTCATAGACTAGACTATAGACTAGTCCACAGACTAGACAATAGACTAGTCCATAGACTAGACAATAGACTAGTCAATAGACTAGACAATAGATTAGTCCATAGACTAGACAATAGACTAGTCCATAGACTAGACAATAGACTAGTCCATAGACTAGACACTAGTCCATAGACTAGACACTAGTCCATAAACTAGACACTAGTCCATAGACTAGACACTAGTCCATAGACTAGACACTAGTCCATAGACTAGACACTAGTCCATAGACTAGTAAATAAACTAGTCCATAGACGAATCAGTAGAATAGTTCATAGAATAGTCCATAGACTTGACAAAGACTAGTCCATAGACTAGACAATAGACTAGTCCACAGACTTGTCCATAGACAGACTTGTCCATAGTCAATAAACTAGTCCATAGACTACTCAGAAGACTAGTCCATAGACTTGACAATAGACTAGTCCATAGACTAGACAATAGACTAGTACATAGACTAGACAATAGACTAGTCTATAGACTAGTCAATAAGCTAGTCCATAGACTAGACAATAGGCTAGTAAATAAACTAGTCCATAGACTAGTCAGAAGACTAGTTCATAGACTTGTCCATAGATTTGACAATAGACTAGTTCATAGACTAGACAATAGACTAGTCCATAGACTTGACAATAGACTAGTTCATAGACTAGACAATAGACTAGTCCATAGACTAGTCAATAGACTAGTCCATAGACTAGTCAATAAAGTAGTCCATATACTAGTTCATTGACTAGTCCATAGATTAGACAATAGACTAGACAACAGACAAGTCAATGGACTAGTCAATAGACTACTCATTAGACTAGTCCACAGACTATTAAAAAGACTAGTCTATAGACTACTCAATAGACTAGTCCATAGACTACTCAATATATTAGCCAATAGAATAGTCCATAGACTAGTCAATAGACTAGTCCAGACTCTGGTCTAGTCTATTAACTAGTCTCTGAAGACCATAGACTAGTCAATCAGTTTGGTGTCACTCTGTATAAACAAATAGTTTTATTTTGGGAGCACAGTGGCCAAGTAGTCCCTCTGTAATTGGAAAATCTTTAGAAATTTCAAATGAGTTTTAAATTTAATACAGTATTTTCTTAAACAAATACATTTTTGTTATCAAATTCTAAAACATGATTTAAAATCTCTTCTTCAAAAAACATTCGATGTCCATTACATATCGGTATTTTTAGCGTAATTACCAGGGAAACACTTTGAAATAATTCCTGTATTTAAAAGTGGAAAATTAATGGTTTCCTTTTGGAAAGCGTCTTTCCTTATTCAAAAACTTTTTTTTTAATTTTCAGATAGTTTTTGAAGTAATTTTTATTTTTGTTGTATTTTGCAAAAGGCAACTTAACAAGCGAGTTATAAAGCTTAGGAAATTGTTCAATATTTCAATATTTCAACATATTCTTTAATTAATTTAAAATTTTCGTTCTTTTGTTTTCATTTTAGAATTTTATTAAAACAAAAACTCTCTACCATTTAACATAAATAACATAAACAGTAAACATAATTGTAGATTAAAACTTAAATAAAAAAATATATTAAAAATTTAAAGAAAAACTCAAAAAGTAAACACAATTATTGTAAAAAAACCACAACATTAAAAATATGAACTTGTAGCATAAAATAAAATAAACCAACAAAACTCTATCATGTAAAGAAATAAATTAAAGAAAAAAACAATGAATTAATTCTCTCACAAAAGGAATTTTGTTTAATATTTTTTGAAAATTAATAAAAAGAAATAAAACAAAAGTATTTTTGATATTTAATAGAAAAAAAAGCTAAGAAACCTTAAAAAAAACACAAAAACTTTTTAACATTTAAAAAAGAAAACTCAAACCCACTTGAACAAGTAATTCACAAACCAATAAATAATAATTATAAACTATATACAACAACTATAAAAAAAAAGAATAAAACAAAATAATTTTTTTTAATAAAATATAAAACTTAAAAAATGAAATTAAAATTTTCTGTTTTTTTTTGTTAGTTTTATAAATAACAAATTGTAAATTATTTATACAAATATTTAAAATAAATTAATAAAAACAAAATATCACAATATTTAAACAAAAAAAACAACAAGAAATTTACTATAATAAAAAAATATATAAATTTTAAATGAATTAATTTATAATTTAAACAAATACTTAGCTATTAACACAAAAAAAAATAATTAAAAATTAAATAAAACTAAAAACTTGTAAAATTTGTACACGCCCCCTTCCTAAAACTCCTACACACACACACATACACTCTCAACAACTTGTAAACTTTAAATTATATTTAAGTTTTAGCTTTAAATTATCAAATACACGAAACAACAACTTGTAAGTAATCTTAAAAAAACACATGATTTGAAACAAAATATTCAAATATTGAATTTTTATTAATTTTGTAAAAAAAACAAAACCCACACACACACACATGTCTTTAAGAAACATTAATTATTAATTATAAAAAAAAGAAACCCATAGAGTTAGTATGAATTTAATTATAAAACAAAATACTACCCTTAAATATTAATTAAAGTAAAATTAAAAAATAAAAAAAAAATATTAATAAAATTTAGCTCTCCTTATTATTGTATAAAAATTAAAAAAAAAATAAATTATAAATAATACTTCTACATAAAATAATATAAAATATATAAAAAAAACATAACTTTAAAAAAAAACCAACAATTTTCAATCAATGTTTTCTTTCATAAAAAAACAACTATAACAAAACACAAAACAACAACAAAAACTAAACCATCTTAATATTTTTCTTAAAAAAGAAATTTCAAATTTTTTTTTTTAAAGAAAAAAAACAAAAACTTTCAAAACACCTCAAAATATACATAACAAAAATCTAAAATAATAATAATAATTAAATCTAACTTCTGTAATAGTAATTATATTTATAGTAAAACACAACAACAACAACAAAAACATAAACAAAACTATTGAAAATTAATTATAAATATA